CCTGCTGGAAAGATGGAAGAAATAAGGGTGTATTGTTAAGAACTTAATTAAAAATGTTTAGTGCATGAGAATTTCAGGTTTACCAACGAATTATTGATATTTTTTTTTCCAATAATTCAATAAAGTTTAGAGTAACAAGTCATGAAATACTTTAATGAACTTAAATAAGTTCTACTGAAGTTCTGATTTTAACTAGAATCCCAACACAAATTCAAACCTTCCAGGACCGAATGATCTAGAGAATACAGTTTCTCATTTAAATACAAAATAAAACCTAAAGAATACATCTTTTCAATTAAATCCAAATTTATTTTGTATTCTTCATCGCCCGGGGGAAGGGATTGGAGAGTGGAGTGATGTAAATGGTTATATTGATCAAGTATGAATTATTGCACACACACCACGTATCAATATACATGGGATATCACGTAGATCATAGTAACAACATTCTGTATAATGATTCATACGAAAATTGGTTAATATCTGTCCTTCCTTGGAATTGCTGCCTTGGGAGAGACTGCAGCATCAAGCTCAAGGTAAATTAATGGCATATTTCAGGTGCTGATTAGCTGAATTGACCCAGGAGTTTACTAGCATAGTGTTAAACCAACATGCCAAGAATTACTTCCAACCTGTACAAGGATAACAGGATATGTCATATTGTTGGAACTTCTGAACACTTCTAATATACACTTTATCATTCCCGTGAGGCACGGGTTCTGTGCATATAATATTTTATCTTGCAAGACTAACGGACGGTCTAATTAATTCAAACACCAAACTGCATACATTTCATTAATCACTTACTGAGGTGAAAGGAGATTAGTTGATTAATCATTTGACAAACATATTTAACCAAGTATATCCTCGTGTAACCAGCCAATGAATGTGGTCCGGTAAGAATTCCGTTGTTTCAGCAAGTGATTAACTTCAAACGAAATATAGCTAAATCAGTTTAATAATAGTTGATCTAATTTCAGTGAGACTTTTGTAGGAGGCTATCATTTTTCTTTCAGATTTCGAAGTTCTACTGGTACAATTTCATTTCAGCTAAAGTTTTTAAACCAAAAAAGATCACGGCTAAAGTTTCAAACATAACATATCTTAAACTATCCACGGTCACCGTCACAAATCACTAGCCCAATCTTAATAATAGGAAATCATAAAAACATTAGCATTTGTCCTTGAAAGCATGTTGCTAGCCTAGAAGAAAGGAATTAATAGCCACAGCCACTCTATTTGAATTTATAACACAGATTTTACTCGAGTAATACTGTCAAATGCCAATCTGTTAGGGTTACATGTATTGAAGGATACGCTTCCATGCAAATATCTTCAAAAAAAAGTCAAGCTAGTCTATTTTAAGTGATCTCTAGACTCTTTTCATAGTAAAAACCACTTTTGAATTATTACATTACTACAAAAAAAAAAAAATATATATATATATATATATATAT